TGCTCTGTTATGGCCTATGCATTATATGTTTGAGTCACGAAAACAATTTTTTGCAACACGATATACATACATACTCTTCAAAGCTCACAATTAGGGGAGCCTTGTACATTACGCCTCATTTTGATTAACCAATGTTGTTGTCAAAGAATCAGTATCAAACATTGTATGTATATATGAGATGAACATAGATATGGCTAGTTCCAAGTTGACATCGCTAACATGCTTACTACANCCGCAAGCCCTGCCACAAAGAACAGAGTCCCACTTGCAGGAAAGCTAACGCACGCCCCCTTACGTTATCTTTCGCTTGCTCTGCTGTACGAGCCTTGTTTAAGCCACAGGATTGACAGGGGACCAAAGCTGGAAAGTGAAAATGAATTGGATAAACTCTTTTTTTTTCCACGTCAGCAAGAAGATCCGAACAGGATGACTATCATATAGAATATGCACAAAAGGAGAAAAGACAAAACTACCATCTTTGTCACCTCTGCAATGTTAACTAATCTGAGCAACCACCTGCATGCTCCTTTACTTCTCAGTCCTTGAAATGGATGGAGTTGGCCTGAGTTTTAATAGCCAATGCTGAAAGATGGGGGATGGGAGGGACGAGTATAGACGTATAGCAGGAAGATTGCTCTGTTATGGCCTATGCATTATATGTTTGAGTCACGAAAACAATTTTTTGCAACACGATATACATACATACTCTTCAAAGCTCACAATTAGGGGAGCCTTGTACATTACGCCTCATTTTGATTAACCAATGTTGTTGTCAAAGAATCAGTATCAAACATTGTATGTATATATGAGATGAACATAGATATGGCTAGTTCCAAGTTGACATCGCTAACATGCTTACTACAGCAAAAAGTTGTATTCCTTCCTTTAAGAGAATAAATCTACATGCCAACTCAACTCTTGAAGAAGCAACCGATGGATAGAAAGCATTCTTTACAGTCCCACCACTTTTATAAAATGAGTTTTTTCTCGGAAAATCTACCTTTCATCAAATACTTTGATATAAAATAAAAGATTTTATCCCCCACCCTCCTTCACAACAAAAAAAAAATTCATTTGCCCCAGCATACATTTGATAACTCTGACATTGTTGGGATGTACGGACAACGTCAACCTGTGTTGGATTAAATCATCAATTGGGTGATACAAGGTGTCAACTTGTGCAAGGAACAAAGGTACATTATCAAGCAAATGATCTTGGGCATGTATCTTATCCAAACAAATATCCAAAGGAACTTTCTTTTTCATATGTTTTCGATTATCTTATTATTTTATTTTTTCTTTTTCCTGGTTAGATAATGCAATCCTTCACCTTCAACAACCACTATAAATAAGGGGTGATGAAAGCTCAACATCCAACACAGGCAACCTTCACTGTCCTAGTAGACAAGCATACACCACTTGTTCTACTCACTTTCGAAGCCCTAGTTAGTAGTTAGACCAAGTGTTTTTAAGCTATTCTTCGTTGAATTGCTCTAGGACGTGTTTTGAGCTATATTGCACATCTTTTCAAGCTATATTCTGCTTTTAATCAAGCCTTAGACATATTTTGAGTTATATTGTATATCAGTTTTTTCCGGGAAGTAGAGTTTTGTTTAACTGCTTGAAATGGATAGAGTGAGAGACTTGGCGTCAAAGAAGGCTGCAGTGATCTTTACAAAGAGCTCGTGTTGCATGTGCCACAGCATCAAGGCACTGTTTTATGAACTTGGTGCAAGTCCTGCAATTCATGAACTTGATCAGGACTCAAACGGGAAGCAAATGGAATGGGCACTGCGAAGCCTGGGCTGTACTCCGACTGTCCCGGCTGTGTTCATTGGCGGAAACTTCGTCGGCTCTGCCCCAGAAGTCATATCCCGCCAAGTCGACGGGTCTTTGAAGCAACTGCTCATTGATGCCGGAGCTATCTGGTTCTAGCTAGTCATATTAGCAAGATGGAGCTCTGATACTATGTTAAAAAAATCCGAGCTTTTATGAACTGTTTTTTTTTTTTTCTTTCTTTTTTTCAGCTACATGGTGACTGCATGTTTTATAAGAGAAAGGACACACTATGTGAAAATGGTAATTTGAGATTAAGTTTTCTTATAACTATTTGAAACCTCACTCTCTTGAAACGAATCAGTCAATCATCGCTCTCTTACTTTATTTTCCTTGAGAGTTATTTTTTGAATATATACCTGAAATTCCCAAATCAACTTACATGATTAGACAACATTCGAATTTCGGAACAGTCTATCCATGAGAATATTCAGAAAAAAATTGCTCCTATATATAAAAGCTAAACTACCAAAGAAAAAAGTCTCCTCGTTACACGTAACTTCGAATCAATGATCATACATACTTCAACAGAGAGCACATATACCCTTGTCTAGAGTCCCATTTATATCAAGTGACAATTGCACAATACAGTGAAATACCCACCGCACCCACCAGTACCTATTTATGGAACAAAATGTTCCAGCACATAATGGTGTTTATCTTCTTTAAAACGAAGATTAAAGTCATCTTGTTAGGTTTTTGTATGATCATGTTTACTGATCAACAGTATGTCATTGCCATGTGTAGGAGATGCATACAAACTAACATGACATTTTTTTTTTTGGTCGAAACTAACATGAAATTCCAAGTATATGTGAGCAGTAAGACTATTTCAATGTGATCTTAGGTATTATAGGTGACAATCACAAAAAACATCTCCTCGTACATGAGTAAAAGGCATTGCATCTATGAATTTATCAAAATTCCTGAACGTACATTCACCACTTTGTGCATTATCTGGGTGTTCAGTTTAGTTAACTTGTATATGGAATAAATTTTTTTTTTCGATTCAATTAAATGTAAATCATTCACGTCGAGTTAGGATATTAATGGGCGATAAATATCTCGTGATTTTGCCCCCAGAGGTTGCAAAAATTCAACTCAAGACATTTGAGTTTATAACTCATTTTTATTATCACGAGAAATGCTGCACGGACTTAAAAACTAGATGTGATAATCACAACTATTAAATAGTTAGTGGGTCCTAATAAATATTAAAGTCCACAATAAAATTAATGATTATAATTATCAAATTTAATTTTTAAGTGTACGTAACATTGCTCTATTATCACTTGAATTAACTTGGGATTGGAGGACCCTCCTTCCAGGATTGATCAGAATGTGCCCAAGTGTAAGTGTGTACCTGCTCATCAACAGTTCATGTGTACTGTATGTAAACATCTATGAGAGAGAGAGAGAGAGAGGGAGAGAGAGACTCACGTACGTGCTCACGCATGATAAGGAATTTTAGGCAAGTTGGTGGGCGGAAACACAAAGAATCTGAATCACACTCACCGAAAGCTATCTCATTCCTATTCTTTACACCAGAATCGAATAATATATTTGGAGATGATTGGGAGAATCTGGTAGAAATTGACCACCTTTTATTTAGGAATTTTTATCTTTTTGTTTTTCTTTTCCCGATGGATCCAATTCTTGATCATTTTTTTGGTTTCAGGAATTTCAGACCCGCTCTTACAACGCAACCTCATTGATTGCCCAAAAATTACCCGTGCATTTGCACATTTTCAACCCATGGTCAATAACTTGCACAGTTGTGTCATAAATCTATTCAACCCGAAATCATAATGGATAGTGGACAGTCAACATATTGGATGGCTATGATCACTTGACAATCTAGATCAACGACCAGAATAAGGCCATGCAAGTGGTTCGTGGTCTACGGGAAGTCCCCACTAGGCCCAATCGGATTTGCCCGACTAAGGTCGGTAAAGTCTGCCTGTGGGTCGGCCTGTTGGCCCATCAAAACTCAAAATAACCATTAAAAAAAAAGTTAAATTCAGAAAGAAAGAACACTTATGGCTAGTCCTATAATTAAGTAACACATTAAAGACTCCATAGAATCATCCCCATTATGCCTGTGAATGAATTAGAGTTCCGATTGAATTTTGATCGATCTGAATTTGACTTTAAAAATCCGATTCATTTGAAGACCAAGGAAATATAATCATTGGGACCAAATCTTTAGGTAAAAAAGTACGTTTTAGGTCTTTAATAAAGAACATTTGTCATATGTGGAAAGACTATACTTGGGTCAAGTTGATGCATTTTTTTTTTTTTGTGGTTTATATTCGAATCTATTAACAATAGGTTTCAGAAATTCAATCGGATCCGAATAACTTAATTTAACTAAATTTTAACAAATTATATCTAAATTTTAACTAAATATTTTTAAATAATCACTTAATTTATTTAATATTTATACAAAAATATATAAATATTTTGAATCAAATTCTAATCGGATCAGATATAAGTATATTCTAAAAATAAAAAAAATAAGTATATCTAAATATGAATTTTTGAAATATATGGTATCAAATACGAAAATCGACAAAAAATGTCAACCTATATCTGAATAATCAAACTCTAGTTCAGATAAAATTATAATCAAATTTCGGTCTATTGAGAGGCCTAATCCCGATGAACAAACCATAGGATGCATTTTTTAATAGTTGGACAGCTTGACCAACCAATTGACCATGGCCCAATCCAATGGTTCCCACGTGTTGTGTAGGCCCGGCCCGATTATGGACCATTAGACCAGAATATATATATATATATATATATCTTTCACCTTATTCCGAGGAACAAAATAGTACCAATTTTTCCGGCATCTTAGTAAAAGCACACGAACTTTTTGAAAGTTTCTTTTTTTTTTTTTTATAGAGAAAGGAGACCACACTCGCCCCTTTTTTTTTTTTTTTTTTTATAAATAGAGTAACAAGAGAACTCAAGTTCAAGCAACCTTACATCTTCAAACCATTTCTCTCTTGCCAACTTCTCCTTTTTCACACCTTGGTGTGATAGTGTTTGTAAGTTTTAAGAGGACGTAAATCTTTGAATTTGCATATCGGTTAAAGTAGGATTCTATTGCTCGTTTTTTGACGACTTTCAAAAATACCCAGATGGAGAAAGTATCTAAAATGGCTGCAGAGAATGGTGTAGTGATTTTCAGCAAGAGCACATGCTGTTTGTGCTATGCTGTAAACATCCTATTTAATGATCTTGGAGTGCACCCTTTGGTTCATGAAATTGATCAAGATCCAGAGGGGAGAGAAATGGAGAAGGCTCTGTTGGGGATGGGGTGCCAATCACCTGTGCCAGCAGTTTTCATTGGTGGAAAGCTTATGGGGTCTACCAATGAAGTCATGTCCCTCCACCTAAGTGGGTCCCTGGTCCCACTGCTGAGGCCGTATCAGGCTCAGTCATCTTAATCTTATTACTGCATTATTAGTACGGGAAGGAATAAAGCTTGGGCTCTCTTCACTGATATAGTATTATGTAGCTGTGTCCTATGTAGTGCATACTTAGTAGTTTTGAATTAGGTTTGAGCATGTAGCTTAGCTATTTGCCTAAGTTAAAAAGTCTAATTATGAATTTTAGCCTATTTGCTTTAGCTTAATGTGCTCAATGCCATAAAAGAGTAATGAGATGAATGAAATGGTCTATTCATATTTGGGACAAGTTGTGTATATCCAACTATCCGTGATTCTGTAATAGTGATAGTTTCGTATATTGAACTGTTTCTTTTTCCCTACTTCAATGAAATAAGTGTCCCCAAAAAAATAGAATATTGCAAAGTGCGATTAATGTTGTGTCATTCATTAGTCATATGATGTTCTCTCTTATGCTCTCTTCTCTCTTAATCCCCCTCTCTAATACGAGCATTTGGGAGGCAAATTTTTATAATTGTTCATATAAGAAGGACCAATATTACACAATTATTTCCCTGCCAAGGTAGATACAAGTCATCATGATTCGATTTAAATCTCCTACTTTTATAGAGTTTCACCTCTATGAACACACAATTATAAACATCACAATAAAAGTAAAAAATCTTAGTAGGACGGAAAAATGAAGCAATTTTGACTTTATTCATATATTAGAAAATAATTTCAGACGGGTAAACTATGTGTCTCGCACACAATACACTCTAGAAATTCTATACTTTTGGCATTTTTGTTTAAAATTATTCCATGTCGGTAGAATAATATCTCCCGAAATAGTATATTTTTAGATCATTGTCAATTGTTTTTTAATCGAATACTTTAACATCTTTAATGATTTTGTACTATTGTTACATTTCTAATTTTCAAAAAAGGGGTAAAGAAAATTGTCCACCTTTGTAGGAAGAGGTGCCCATGATTCTTCAACTTTACACCACACATAAAGAAAGGCATTATATTCTTTACTTTTTCCAATTTGTTTGTATCTACTTAATATTTTTTCTATTTTTTGTTGGCTTCTGGAAACATTGGTCAAGTATATGCCAAGCTTGAACTCAGGACAGTTACCAACGAGCTGTTCGGTCAATTGGTAACGACTCAAATTTTCTCGTTCAATATTTGAATTCGAGTTTTCATAGTTACGATAGTTTGTTAAGGTTAAAACCGCTAAACCTATTCTTCAACGTCTAAAGCACTAGGTGAGACTTTAGCTTTGGTCTCTACGTAGATGCGGTGGGGTCTCTTGTAAATAGTTGTGTGGTACTGAGAGATAATACTCCTTAACAGATATGTGAAGTGACATGTCTACGTATCCATTTCATATACCCAAAAAAAAAAAAAAAAAACTCAAGACAATTCCTTGGTGCTAATGGACAAAAGATAAAAAATTTTTAGTATTACACCAAAAAATTATTTTTATTTATCGTAGCATTTGCTATAAAAACAATGATTAAGTTCCTTCCTTGGCATCACACCGTCACACATAACTCCCATTTAAGAGAAAACTATCTAAGAATCAAAATTTTGTTTTAGTATTTAAAAACAGGAACTTTTTGTGTATATTTCGAAAGGTAAGAAAATTTTAAAATTTTGCATTGATGACAGATTAGTTGAAATACATCAATCATTGACAGAAACATTCCAAAATAGTCTTAAATATTCTGATACAGAGAAATTCTAATTTTTCGCTTCTGATTTATTTTTGTTTTCATTGAAACTAAATTATTCTAGTGAAACAAAATTTAGGTAGAAATATAATGCACTATTGTGGGCTTTGTACTCAATCCTAGCTCCCCCCCCGCAATTTTTTTTTTTTTTTTTTTTGAGACTTCAAGTGGAATATGTTTTTTTTTTGTTGAAAACCGAATATAAGTTAATTAAGAAAAGTAAGTAATTTAATTGATAGGTGGAAGTTGTACTAAGACAAAAATAGAGCCTAAAATTACCTAAGTTCAACTATAAGTGAGTGAATGTCACTTTCTAAACTTGAATGGATAATCCAATTGTTGTGGGGTCAACTCTCAACTCTAAGCACGATTTACTCTCAGATGTCTTCAAGTCAACTTATTTTACAGTTTGAAAAAGTTGGAGGAAGAGGAGCCTACATAATTGGAGAGAATAACAAAGTTAATAATGCAACAATTTAATTTTAAGAGTGTGCTTGGTTTTGGGATAAAACTTGTGCAATTCCTATTGATGGGCCAAGCCCAAAGACCTAACTCAGGATGTAAGTCCAGTTTAAATTAAAAGCCCAACGTCAAAGAGATCCAGTAAAATCAAACTTGAAACGGTTCACGCTTGGTTAAGCTCATTAAGTTCAAGGAATTACGTCATCAGGGGAGCATGTAGGGTCATCTAAGAGCTTCCACGCCACCTTGAAAGAGTCAACACTCACATCATTCTTTGACTGAATCTCATGGAGAACACTATAATCGCCTCGCCCGTTGAGAGGAGGTCGATAGATCCAACAGACTAGTCAACTAGTTACTAATATTTCGTCATAATTTGTTATGAGAGTGACTATAAATTGTAAGTCACAGCAACACTTGAGAGGTATCACACTCAGTCGAGTACAACTCTCCTCTCTCTTTTTAAACTTGTAACTCTCAGCTCTTCTTATGCACTTGAGTAAATAAAATATCTGGTGATCCTAACTATTTAAAGTAGACGTAAGTCAAGTTGAACGAACCACTATATATCTTGTTTTTTTTTCTCTCTCAACTTATTTATTGTATTTAATATTATTTACTTAACAAGTGGTGTACAAATCAATTTGTACATAATCACCTATACTAGGAATGACAAGGGTGCAGAGTGGACAATTTTAAAACGGACTTTTCATTCATTAGATAGAAAAATTCATCAAAATTTTGTGATCTATTGTCAAATTTATTTAAATTCCAAGAGTTCAAATTAAAAAGATATTCAATTCGATCAAGGGACAACCCTAATGTTGAGTTAATTGTATGCAAAGAAAGCGGAGGTGAGAAAGTAGATTAGAACGCATCGTAATTAAAAGAGTCCTTTCATTTAGAAAAAGACAAAATGGACAAACATGAGCTATTTGAAGCCCGACCCAATTAGTTAGATGATAACTACTTCCATTAATAGATTCCTATTAGCCGGCTATCTTGGAACGGAGGTACCAAAACCAGATCTAACAGGAATCTCCAACTTTACTTAAATTTAGATTCAAATTTAAGTAAAAAATTTTAAAAATTTATTCCAACTTTTAACTCAAATTTATACTATATCAAGAAAAATTTATTTTTTTATTCAAATTAAACGAGATTCAAATTTTTAATGATAAAATTTTATCATCTTTAAAAATCTAATAATTATTCTTATTCTTTTTTAAATTTGAGTTTACCCTCATTTAAATTTAAGTTTTACTTTTTTTAAATTTGAGTTTATTCATTGAAGTATTTTATATCAAATTAAATTTTTTATTCAAATATTATTTTAAATTTAAATAAAAATTTAAATTATGGTTATAGATGCTCTTATTAATCTAAATTTTGTGGGGACACTTTGGTGGGCACACTTGAATATATCCACCGTGGTAGGGACACTTCAACTTTTGGAACAGGATAGCAGTTGTCGTATCTCTAGGTCGGTTTGGTTATCTTGCATTAAAAAGACGAATATAGCCCTCAAGACATTAACGTCGGCAACCCCGGTTACCACCTCAACCCCGACAAAAGTAGTTGAAATAGTAATAATTTATATATTTAAATTTAATTTTGATAATTTTTTAGCATTAAGTTATAAGAGATTATAATTTTAATGTGAATAACAGATTAGAGAAAAAACCAGTAAAAATGTATTTAAGCTGATCGAATCGAGGATGAAATTAATCAAAGTGTGTATTTAAGTTAATAAACTTTAACCTTTGACCCAAAAAAAAAAAAAATAATAATAATAATTTTAATAATAATAGCAAAAAATGACTTTTCAATAGCAAGCCTTGCACTGGTGAAAAGGACCTGGAAGCAAACAGACAGGCCATGCGTCAAAGACAACCTCTCTCTCTCTCTCTCTCTCTCTCTCTCGTGTTCGGGACGCCGACACAGTCAGACCTAAATCCCTCTATATGATTCTCTGAGAGTTTTTAGGTTCTTTCTTCAATGGCATCTTGATCAGGTAATGTTAGCTTCGTTCGCTCTCTTTCTTTCTTGAATTTCCATCTGTTTGGTTTCCGAGAAAATTTACGGTCCACTCAAGAAAATAGTATTATGAATCGAATTGTGTGGTTACTTCTTCTTATGAATTGTGAGCGACTAAGATTGATCAAATCCAAATAACCTTGATCTGGTCTTTAATAATTCTGATTTCTTCTCTTTGGTACGAGTGTTAATAGAGTGAGAGATATGATCTTTATGAATCTGAGAGTTGTTAATTTTTGTGGCACTGGATTGTGTTGCAGAGAGGTACGTCACGGTGGTCATCCGGGGAATCCGTTGGATCATATGAAGTGCTTTTGCGGTTGTATAACCGGTTATTCAAATGTACTGCTGTTGCGTGTTCTTGCAAGTGACGAACTTTTTGGCGGAGTGACCAAGGTTGGAACCCGGATCATTCTTCAAATTTTTTATATTCGAAATTCTTGCATTTGGATTTCGTTGACTGACGTTTAATTGCTACGGAAAAAGTTAAATAGGACGGAAATTTTTTCAAATTTTTGGAACTTATGCTATTTAGTTTCTAATAATCTGTTCTTGGAAACAAGACTTCATTGAGTAGATAGTTTCTTCTACTATGAACTCAATGTTAGATTAAACACATGATGTTGAATCTTTATTTATATCTGTTCCATCCATACAAAATTAAGGGTATATCTTGGTTTGATTTTGAACCCTGGGTTCTTGGGCAGGTGAATTGGGTAGACCTTTTTGGACCGGATTGGATTTGCAAGCTTGGTGGAGTTGAGAAAGGACTATTATGGCTGAAGTGGAGGAGCATGTTGAACTTAAATTCAGAATCTATGATGGAACAGATATAGGTCATGGCACGTATGCATCATCTACTACTGTTGCCACTATTAAACAAAGGCTTGTTGCTGAGTGGCCTCAAGGTTGGCTTGTCAAACCATTTTTTTGGCCTTTTCATGTACCCACACACATATGTATATATCAGAGGCTATTCACTGTGACTGGCTTAAATAGCTTTCATATTATTATTTGTTAAATGCACAGATCGCCATATCTTTTATAGTTCAGAATTTGTTTCTAACATATGTTGTCCTGCTTCCAGTATTGGTTTATGTTGGTTCATATACTACAGCAGCGATTTCAATACCTGTGTGGCTTGGATAGATGAAAATTTTAGATTTAAGATAAAAAGTAATTCCATATTTTTTTTGTTTTCATTTCCCGTAACTTATTTGAGTGGCATTTTTGTGGGAATTTACTGAATTGCCTTGTTAAATAAATCAAACACAATTGAGAAAATGAGGCCTTTGATGACAAAAAAAGAAAAGAAATAGTGCAGACTGGCTGCTGTTGTCGGCAAATACAGGGAGGGGTGGAAACTATTAGCACAACAAATAAACCCGGTAGTAATATGATAAGATAGTTTTCAGGGCCAGCAATTTGGTTGAAGTACATTATAGAACATATGCTAGTATTGTCCTCATCTCAACTGTTATACAAAAAACACTGCCTCTGTTTATTTGTATGGATAATTATATTGGTATCAGAGTGAATGGTAGGACTCAATATGATATGGTATTATAGGAATAGTGGCATTTGATTTGCCAGTCAATTCAGACACATATATAGTATCCTATATATGAGGCAAAACAATTAGAAGATTGATGTTTTGAAATGCCCAACCAACTTGTAATGGGGAATATTGCAAATAGGCGGGGATCATTCTAAGGGAAAACATAAAGCTATAGTTGAACAGTTGAAAATTTGACTTTTAAAACCCTTTATCTGAGATTTTAACCTTGGAAAAGATCCTTTGTTTAAGTTGTGATTGGACCTGAGCACACCACTTATTTATTAGCAGGTGTTTTCAGCATTACATTTTTCTCTTTTATAAAGAAAAGTTTAGAAATAGATTTATAGCTTCTGAACTTTGAGCTTTTATCTTTTATGACAAAAGGAATTGTGGATCTGTTTATTTCCCCTGATACTTATTTAGGGAATGCTTAAATTTCTTATTTTTCACGCAAACATTTGTTTCCTTTCATTATTCCAGTTGATTGCTTTCATAACTCCAGTAACGGGAGAATTTGTTGGAAGAATATTAAAGAAAATCAAGCAAATTTCAAAAGATCTTTGACAAAGTTGAGCAGAAAGCTGTTTCCAAAGTTTTGACATGTACTGCAAGTATCTTGCTTGTAACAAAATTCCTTAGTTGGCGTAACAGCAGTTGATTTGTAGAGATTTACGCATGAAAGCCTGCTTGATTTTAGGCGCCATAGCCCACTCAGCGAGTAAATATATTGAAGCCTGGTAGATGAACAGGAGTGTTTTGTAATTAATTAGAGTTAAATACACGTTCCCTCAATGGACTAGAAAGTATATTAGCTGCAACGGATGAAAAGGTTTGTGTTTTTGCGAATTGGTTGAGATTGGTCTAATTACTCACCAAAACAGTGGTTTTTTTACTAATTGTAGAGATTTAGGATGACTAGTGGCGTTAGATTCTGGTTGTTTGGAATTACAGTCAATTTATAGTATTGTGTATGTTCTACATTTTGTTATGGGAGGTAACGAAGTAAACGTGGGGACATTTGAACTAGTGGTCGTATTATTTGTGATTTGGGTGGATGCCTTGCTTCCCCCCCCTTTTTCCTTTTCTCTTCTTCCTTATTCTCCCCAAGTTGGGTTTTTTTATATTCAACTAGGGTTATGTTCACGTACTGTTTGCAAGTTGTGAAAGCCAAAAGTAAGCAGCATTGGCTTTCAGTCCTTGAAGAATTGGATTACTCCTGGCCCCTGAAATGTAGATAGGTACCTGGAGCTATGAACCTTGTTTCTTTGTTGCAACTTACAGCATGTTTGGTTTCTTTTTTGGTGGGTGCAAAAGAAGGAAAATATTTTTCCTCCCTCCAAACTTGAAGTGGGAACCAAACTAGGGAAAGAAAGGAAATTAAAAACTTTCCCTTCCTTCCCCCAAACCAAACAAGTTCCTTCTTTTATTGTGAATTAAAAGCATGTTTTCCCCCACATTACAATCTTGTCAAAGGACAATTCATCGGCTGTCCTCATCAATTGGTTTAGCTATGTATTTAGATTCTGTAGTCATATACGTCTATTTCTATATTATTTGATATGTGCAATATCTTTGGTAGAGTTTGTAATGAAGCCTTTCATTTGCAGATAAGTCCGTTATGCCTAAGATTGTAAGTGATTTGAAGCTTATACACGCTGGAAAGTTTTTGGAAAATAGCACGACACTTGCTGAGTCCAGAGTGCATGTTGGTGACGATCCTGGAGGCGTAATTACAATGCATGTGGTGGTACAGCCTCCTGTTGCTAATAAAAAGACAGGTTTGTTTAGTTCTTCATCCTACATACGGTGAATAAGTGAACTGAACCTGTGATTTGTTTCATCTCCTTAGATTTGAGAATGTGGCTACTGTCCTTTTTAAACTGTTGATGAATCTTTACTGGATGGTGCTGTAGGGCCATTCTTCCCACCATCCCATAAAAACCAACTCCATATGGGAAAGAGAGGAAATGCCATAATATTGGTGACTATATTGCATGCTATGTTGCACACATCAGTCAAGAGCGTGGAAAATGTTGCTCTAGGAAATTGGTTGTGCATTTGATTGTCGTGGCCCACTTTCGCTACTTAGGACATTCAACACGAATACAATGGACACAGATTGTGGTAGATACTTATAACATCAAAAGTTGTCAAAGATAATGTCTTTGTGAGACTCTAGACTCTAGAGTGGACAGAAGGAATAGATTTAGCTTAATAACTGCCTAGTTAATAGTTTCCAACAATCTGGGACATTGGGTAGCTTTGTCGATGGCTTAGAAATATTATCGGTTGTTCGTGTGAAAACGAAAAAAAATGTATGGCATTGTTTATAGCTAGAACCAATGGATCTATCATTCTCTTGTTTTTTCTTTCGGTGTAAACCTAGGATCTTAACATTTTGCTCTCTATTTTTTGTTTCGTGCTTTTGGTCATCATGCAGACAAGGATCAGGATGAGATGCGAAAGAACAATTGGTGCTCTTGTACTATACTGTAGAATAAGAGGCATTCTCTGTGGCTGTTCTCCGGACAGGCTCATTTTGACCTTCCTTTTTGTTGTTGGTGTTCTCAGAAATAATGTAATAGGTTTTCGCTAATTGAAAATAATAATGATATCTTAATTGAAACTAAAATGTCTACCTTGACTGATATCTCCCCTTCTGTGTTGTAGGGTTGCGTGTATGCAGGGTTGGGTGTATGCGTGCATGGTGTTTCTTTTTTATTTTATTTTTTTCAGAATGAATTCAGGTTGATCCAGGCCAAGTTGTTCTATAGATCATATCAACTAGAGGAAAACAAAATAAAAACAAAACTGTTTTTTTCGTATGCTCGCCAAGTAAATTCAGTATTAGTAGCCTTGTGGTAGCCTTTAGCATGGTCCATACAATCCTGAACCATTGTAAGTTTACATTACAACTTTTTTTATTATAGTATCGTATTGTTAAATCCGAATATAAGACTATTTTATTTGTTTATTGTAGTTTTGCTAGGTGTTATAAAATTATTATAGCATCTTAATCTAGTAATTAGAGAGCGACCTTTCAATTACCTATGACCAATAGGTTAAAATTGAATTTATGTTGTAGGTATCTATACTGTTAAATCAGGGTACTCCCCGGCTACTTGTCTCAAATTGTCAAGTAATGTGGATGCTGGGCCCTCCTTCTCTCCTCATCCGATGTTATGGCATGTCATTTGGCATATGAAGACTCTCCCTAAAATAAGGCATTTTTTTGGTGGCAAGTTTGCGGCGTCGTCTTGGCCACCCGTGAAAATTTGTTTAGCAGAAATTGTGGCAACTCACCTTGGTGTCAGATCTACTGTCGAAACCATTGAGCATGTGTTTGTTTGGTTGTGAATGGACAAAGAAGGTTTGGTTTGGCTCCGTTTTTGGTTTCGTTTTGTTGAGGATTCTTTTTCTTCTGCTATGCAATGGGTCTTCGCAATTTCAGAAACTATCAGTGATACATCCCGTTCTTTGGAGGTCATGGGGAATATTGCGACTATTGCGTGGGCAATCTGGAAAGGGCGGAATCAGGCGGTTTTTAATCAAGAGCCGCCAAATGCATTCGCTATACTGCTGATTGCAAGGAACTTATGGAGCGATATTTTTGCAGCTGGACAAAGAGGAGTGAAAATCTCATTTGCCCCAGCTGAGTTTGTGATCCCCCCTAGCTGTTGGAGGCAAGACTTTATTCTCAGTTGTGATGGGCTTATAAAAAGGCAAGGCTGCTATCGGGGTTCTTGTAAGGGACGGGATCTGTACAAAGGTCCTGGCATCTTCAAGCCTCCAAGCAGAAGCTATTGCGGTGAGAGAAGCATGTCTGGTAGCAAGTGCAGCACAGATAAAGCATTCAAGAGTTGAGAGTGATTGTCAAGTGATTATTAAACTGTCCTCAGCTGAAGATGACTCCCCTTGGGAGATCAGTGCTCTAGTGGCCGATATCAGATTTTTTGCCAATCATCTCCAACTTAGTTTTTTAGGCAAGCCAAGAACCCTAAATATTGAATGAATGCAACGGTGATACCATGCCATCATTAATGACATGGTATCACCAACCAATAATATAACCCTAAATTGAAAAGGTGAACCCCACTTAGACTTACATGACAGAAGAGTGGTGAATTATTTGCTTACATGTTAGTTATTGATTTTTGTGGAGTCCATCTGTTTATTTGTTTTATTATTATTAGTTGGTGATACCACATCACCTTGTCACATGATATCACCGTTGTAATGAATATTTTCTCTTCAATAGAGCTACTTATTGGATGGCAGCAGCTGCGATGACTGATTCGCTTGCTGCGAACTGGGTCAGTTGTCTCTCCCAACCAGTTCAAAGCTTTCCTTACTGCTGATTATAATTATCACTTTTCTACTTGAAATTTTACTCACTTTTGATTAAAAAAAAAAAAAAATTATGTTGTTGGCGTTAAAACAATTTACTCTACACAAGTTAGAAAAGATATATGAGAAATCCATATATTAATTTCAAAGAAGGAAAATTAGAAGTCGGCAAGTTACACATAAAATTTTAAAAAATTGAAATTACGACTTTATTAAATTGAATTTAGTTGAGTTTACTTACGAAAATAATCAAATAAGAATAAAAAAAATATTGTTAAGCGGTTAGCCAAACAGAGAATAGCGGCATGGGAAACAATAATATCCTAAATAAATAGCAACTCGATGATGAACGTGATTGGTTCCCTGAGTCCGCCTCTTTTTTCATTTGGGCCCCAGAACTTTGCCGAATTTTTGTTTCAACCGCCATACCCCTGCAACTCTTCGAGGGCTGAGGGGTCCCGAACACCCTAACCCCTAATCTTCCCCAATCAGAGATCTCACCATTTTTTTTCCCTTATTGTTTATCGGTCGCCACATACATTTTCGTTTTCGCTCTGATTGATAATCTTTAACCCTGAACAAAGCTGCCAAACAGTCATCAATGGAAGAAGGTAAAACTGCTGTTAATCAAGAAACCCTAGAAGTTGTTGATACACCCAGGGAAGATTTTGGGAAGATGCTTTATGGGTATGCTTTGATTTCCAACCCTAACGCTAGTGCTCTGCGTTGTCGCTTCCGTGTGTGTGTGTGTGTGTGTGTGTGTTTTCCTTCCATTTTTCATCTTCCTGACAAAAGGGGAAAAACAAAGAAAACCTAACCCTTCACCAAATTTCTTTCAGTTGTTTATTCTTAATTTATTGTTTATTTTGATATAGATGCGAACATTACCGTAGACGGTGTAAACTCCTAGCCCCATGCTGCAATCAGATTTTTACCTGCCGCCATTGTCACAACGAGGCCACGGTCTCTCTCTCTCTCTCTCTCTCTCTCTCTCACACACACACACACATTTTTGATATTGGGAATTTTTCTTACCTGAGGTTTCTCTATGTGTTCTTTGTTTGATTCAGAGCGCTCTGAGTAACCCCCACGAACTTGTGCGCCAAGATGTCAAGCAAGTATGATATAATAACTTCTTTTCATCTCTCTTTAGTAATCTTTACTGATTACTATCTTTACTCTATGTTGTTGTGTATCCCCATTTCATATCTATTTTTTCAGTTTGTTTGTCTTGCTATCTTACTTGTTGATATTAATGTTCTGGGTTTTATTCTATGAAACTCTGGATTTGGATCGATGGTTCCAGGTTATTTGTGCAGTTTGCGATACTGAGCAGCAGGTTAGATTTTTGTGAAATTGTAGACTTACTCAACTACATTTACTCGTTTTCAAAATTTTTTTTGGAATTGTTTTTAACATCTCAAAAAGTTCATTTCTAAATGAAATTTTCCTTTCTCTGTTTCTAGGCTGCTCATGTCTGTTCAAAATGCGGTGTCAAAATGGGGGAATATTTCTGCAAGACTTGCAAGTTCTACGATGATGATGTAATGCTACTAATTTCTGTTTACTAGGAATTTTGTACTTAATTGTTTAATTTATTTTCTTTGTATGTGATATGATCTATTGCATGTTCACAATTACAGACAAAGAAGAAGCAGTTTCATTGTGATAATTGTGGGATTTGTAGGTTCGTGAGCTAGATATTGTTGCTTTTTAATTTTCTATTTGTTCCAGTTATGGTGTTAAAAATGATTTCTCACGTTCTCTATCCCATGATTTTGTTTTGATACCAATTGTGATTATACAGAGTTGGTGGTCGAGAGAACTTTGATCACTGCCAGAAGTGTGGTATGCAGCCCTACTTAATGGTTTTGTTTCACATGATGTATTGCTTACGCCTATAAAAATGTTTTTATCTTGCCTTCAATATATGTCTTAGGATGTTGTAGCAGTTGTGGTTCTGTTTCTCTTCAAATCAGACCACTGAAAGAGAATTATTTTATTGTTGTGTCAAGATATAATCATATAATTCAACCAACATCTGTCCTCTTGGGAATGGAAAAAATTCCATTTGCACCGCCATTTTCCTTATGTTGTTTCTGATACATGTATACCTATCAAACATACTGCTGATAGGAAATCAGTTGGTTCTTATATGTAAACCTGTCACTTTTCATTCTTTATCTTTCTGCTGTGTTGTGACACGTGCCCAACAGTCAAATCTAATGTACCCATATGGATGATATAACACATTTTCCATAGTTAGATAGTGATTAACTTGGTATGTGATCCCTGTGGCAGAATTGTTTTTCAATGCATTACCCTAGATAACTTTAGCAGAGAGACAAAATCAGCTTGGATGGTATACAGCTGAGACAGAGGAATCATGATGTGGCTGGGACTTCATTATGGGTTGGGGGTGGGTGGAAAGAGAGTGGTACTTCATATAGAAGGATCTAAAAAATTGTGGTTTACAGATTGAGAAAGTTGTAGAATTTTAATCAATGTCGTTAATCGAAATCAGTAAATTATGAATCTGTGTGATTGAACTGAGCTGGTTCAAGCAGCCCACGCCCATGAGTGACTTGATAATGCTGAATTTGGAAGGAAGTATTTAACCTGATGCTGTTGATGGTGGCGGCCTTTAGACCATGTGGGAGTGGGAGAAGGCCAGAGGGTAGCAGGAAAGCAAGAGCCATTTTAATGTTATTGGTTCAATAGTTAAGAGAGTCAAATGTTAATGCTATTCTCTGGGAGTACAATTTTTAACATTTTGCGGAAACTATCTTTAAGCATAGCCATAGCGAATTTTGTTTTACTTTCGGACATGGCTTGAAGCCTTTCCACTTGAATTTGAAATGCTTAGTGGTCATGATGATCATTTTGAGTTGACGTTACCCGTTTTCTTTACTTTTCACTTAATTGAGTGCTTATTTCTCTCTCCCTCCTGGGCTTTTTAAGGAGACATGAAAAGAGGGGGGGGGGTGTTGTGCAGTTGGCCCATTCATATACTCTTCTCCAGTCATCAGTTATGTTTCTTTATCTGCGCTAAAACCTCAAGGCTATGAAACTTCTAACTAGATATTTCTATAAATGCAGGATCTTGCTATTCAGTGAATCTGCGTGATAATCACTTATGCGTTGAAAATTCTATGAAGAACCACTGCCCCATCTGTTATGAGGTTAATATTCATATCCCTGTGTTTTAGTGATAAATTTTCAACTGAAAAAACATCAAATGCTTGTCAGATTCCGGCATCTAACAATTCAATGCTCATCTGGCAGTTTCTTTTTGATTCGGTCAAGAGCACTACAATTATGAAGTGTGGACACACAATGCATCTGGAATGCTGTTCTGAGATGATTAAACAAAATCAGTAAATTCCAGCTCATCTTTAATTTTATTCTCTTATTAATCTGCTTTAGTAACCAGTCAAACAGCTGGGTCTGTCACAGTTTTTATAGCTTCCAATTTATTATCCAGGTATCGCTGTCCGATCTGCTCCAAGTCAGCGTTCAACATGTCAACCACCTGGGAAAGATTAGATCTGGAGGTATGAAGTTTGTTTCTCTTCCACTGTTTACCCTAAGTGTGGATATAGAATATGGTTTTTTTACCTCTTTCTAGATTTAGGTTACTTCCGAAAATTCTTGCCTAGATGTATATAAATATTTCTCACTGGCTCCAATGGTAGATCAAAGGACTTTTCTTTCAGTTAGAATTTTTTTTTTTAGGAAGAGGGGGGTTGGGGGGGTGACTTTTGGATTGGAATATTTTAAATTTTCTGAAGCAAATTATCCTGTTTTTCGTTTTTATATATTAGCAAAATATTAGCTTTATGAAGTTAGTGAGTGCCTTCCAATAAGTTGTCCCTGCATGATTAAGGCTGGTTTTTTTTTAAGCCTGGTATATGTCTTCTGCCATTTAGCAATTTATTTTGTATGTGTTTATGATTCTGTATTAACGGCAAAGTTTGTTGTTGATAGATTGAAGCTACTGCCATGCCCGAGGAATACCATTATGAGGTAAGGCCTTTTTAGGTGAAGGAACTCATTCGAAACATTTCTTGTTAATAATCCCCTTAGTGGCGATCTCTGGTCCATTTGACTAATAGTCCTTTGTTCACAATCTCATTACATTGTAGTTAGTTGAGATGGGCTTACATGAAGCTGCTTCTGATGCCCGTTTCGGGGGAGCAGCTTTGTCATAATGCACCCTTCATTGTTTTAGTATCTGTTTTGTGATCTCTAATTTTTTTTTTTATGAAATTCTGATTTCTGAAACGTTATGAATTCAAATTACAGGTTCCAATTCTCTGCAATGATTGCAACATTACTAGCAAAGCATTCTTTCACATTTTTGGCCACAAGTGCAGCCACTGTAAATCATACAACACCCGGGTGATTGCACCAGCAGATAATCATCCTGACCATGGGAATGAATCTGGATAGTTTGATGAAATGACAATGATGCCACATTGTATCCTCCCTAATTTGTTATAGTACATTTTGTTCCAGCATATGGGTCATTTCCATTTTACACACTAGAAAATGTATTGTGTATTGAAATAGTTTCTGCAGGTTTCTCCTTTCAGCTAGTCTCGTAGAATTAGTTCATGCTTCAATTTTGTTTCATTGAGATTCAAATGTCATCAGACACGCTGCGCTGCGCTGGTGGGTTGATTGTGAGGTGTGGTGTTGACTGTTCATCCACTAACAGCAGCACAGTGATGGGTTTTTCTTTTTGCTTAATTTTTTTTTTCCCCGGTGGTTGAACCTATTTTTAAGGCCTGCCCTGTGAGCCTTGACAGGTGATTCTAAGAAGATACCTAGTTTGGCATTTTCTGTGGCCATTGGTCTTTTACATTACAAGTGATAACCATTCCATTTTACAGCAGTTGATTAACTGAAACAGATTCTTTGGTGCACTGATGATGCCAATACTTTTTGTGAGGATCCGACCTCTAGGGTCCCCCATGGATTAAATTTAGCATTACCATCTTTTATAGGTTGGACAAAATAGATCAACCATATGGAAAGCATTTAGACCAAAAGGCCACCCTGTTCTTTTTTTTTTTTTAATGTTTTATGGCAGGGTGTTTTTTTTTTGTTGGGGGGGGGGGGGGGGGGGG